AGCCAGCAAGAGGAAAAAAGGATGGGTTTTTACTCAACGGACGGCCAGTCTGGGTGTACGTGCACATGAGTGTGTCCCATATCTAGCTACCACCGACTGTGTGTGTGCGTGTGTGTGTGTGCAAGTAAATAGATAAATGGAGGCTGTCTAACCTTGTATTCAATGGACAGCCATTCTGGTCGTACATGATTGTGTGTGTGAGTTTGTGACCTAAATCTAGCTGCGGCTGGTGTGTAAGTGCCGACATGTATGTGTGTGATCCTCCTATATTCCTTCCTGCATGTGGCATAAATCCCTTTATGTGGGTCTGGGAGATTTCCAGATCCTGTTCCAGTGTTGCAGCATTGTTGTGATAATGTGTAGTACGGTACTTTGTTACTGTGCAGTACCACGTATCTCATCACAACAGGAGGATGGACGACACTCTAAGTGTGTGCGAGTGCTGCTCCCCGCCGTGACCAAAAGTGGCCGGAGCTGTTTGAATTGGATTATCCCATACATTTTCTATTATCCAGCAAGACCTTGAAAGAGATAGGCCTGTTGAGAGCCAGAGCCCTTGATATAAAGGGGTTTGGCCAATTTGTAGTATGCCTCCTCTCTCAAGGAGAAACATTTGTTTAACTCATTTTATTTATCTTGACTTATCCAGGTTAGACTCGTGGAGATCAAGGCGCTCCTAAACAGAGCTGGCTAACATACTGGCAACACAATTAATTAGCAGGTGGGAAAAAAAACAATTAAAACATGTCAGTGTGGATGGTGATTAATCCCACAAAAGCACACAAGCGAAAAGTAGAGCAAGCAAGACTGTGGTTGACAGAGAAGAAGAAGACAAACATTAACTGAAGCAATTGAAAAACATCACCAGTTGTTTTGTCACTCTAATACAATGAGGGTAAATATAATTTCAATGTGAAGGCTCTCAAATCGTAGAAAAATGTATGCATGTTTTCTTGGGGACAACTTTGAGAAAGACTTGTTGCTGCTGAAATTTCTGAATGTCAGTTTTTCAATGCTCTAAGCACCAAAGACTAAATTAAATGAACCTCCATTCTATTTGAGATATAGATCTAAAAAAAAAAAAAAAAAAAAAAACCCTCGGCACATTAAACCAAAACTATGGCTAGATACATACATCTAGGGCAAAGACGAACTCAAGAAATACATGTATAATACCTGGCAACAAGTATGACACAGTTTTGTAGGGGCAACATGTCTGCCATCAGTTAAGTTACAACAGCTGCCTTCTGTGGCTAAATGTACGCTAATGAGAACAAAACCAGTGCGGCTACAGGTGGGAAAACCAAAACAAACGAGCTTAAAGACCCTAAAACACTCCATAGAACAGCAGAGTTATGTCACTAAATGTGACCCCTTTAATATTACACATGGTGATTTGATCTATTGTTAATATAAAATAGTGACCGTAGCAGATTTAAAGTATAAGGTTATGCATTTAAAATATGGTTTAATGTATACAACAGATGTAAAACCAGTTCATTACTTGTGTTAGGAGAAAGTCAGAGTGAAACTAGGGCTGCAGTAGAGCTAACATAACCAGCATTATTTTGGCACTCGTTCAGAAAAGTTGCTAGTGTCTTATGACTCATCTCTTCATGCGGTTTTCCACAATCCCTTTTTTTTTTTTTGGAAACAGAGTTTATACTGGCACTACAAAACAGTGAGATTGTTCAAATTCTCCCAGTCGGTACTCGTGACCTTGTAGAAAACACCCTTGTCAAACTGTTTCATTGGGAGCAACTTTTGATGAACACAAGAAGAGACAACGCATCCTTATAGCTCAATACAAGCCGCGCGCTTGATGTTGTGTGATCAATCGAGACACACAGCTGTTTATTTTCCCAGCTGTTTGTGCCTCAGACAGTAACTGCTGCTTTGAGGTGATGCATTACCCTTGGATTTGTTCCCTGAGCTCCTCATCAGTTATTGGTGACTAAATCACCATTCTGAGAATTAATCGGTGACAAACTAAGACCTTTTGCATTTTTTTCCCGCGTGCTGGAATAGTACTTTGTATGTGAAATATTAGCCTACATCAAATGTGCCATGGAAGACTGCACTCAAATAAGTTCACAGAGAAAGTCAATTTTATGGTCTTTTTTTCACCACTCAATATACAGCGGTACCACTCTGTAGTGCTGAATGGTAAATTCTGGGTTCGATATCTGGTGGTTGGGTCACTCTTACCTTGAAAAACAAGCTGGTTGGGTTTTATCATCACAACACTTCCTGATTTCTGTCTGACGTGTGATCAAATAATCCAATCAGAAGTCAGGAAAGTAATACTTTGATATTTTAATGAAAAACTACACACTGATTCAGATTATGAGGACTGTTTTAAATTAGTCAGATAAGATGTTAATATTGCTATTTTTTAGTGCATATAATTTCACTCATCAAAGCAACATCTCAGAGTCCCATGGGGCAAACATTGAGTGGTTAGATGATCAATCAGGTTACAAGCAATGCAACAGTTCAGCTATATTATATAAACTGTTATTTAGAGGTGAAACCAAATGTACTGGAAGCTACAGTTAGATTTTTAAGATTTAGAGTTAAGATTTTTACATAAAATGATCAGTTGTGCTTATAAAATAAGAAATAAACCTGACTCAAGTTGTTCTCAAACTTTTTGGCAAGTTATCCTTTACCAAAAAAAAAAACACAACAAAAAATCAGTGTCTTGTTTGTGGCTCCTTGCCAAATTTGAGAAGCCTGTAAATTGTTCCACCAGGAAATGATCACCCCCTAAACAAGAGTCAAATAGTTTTATCTACTCTAAATAGGTAATCCATTATTTCACAAAATAACACAAATTTGTGTTGCATTTGCTGTTTCTCCTCTTTCCTAAGCACAGTGATCATCTCACGACCACTCAGATTTATCTTGTGACCCTTTGGATGGAACCCAAACCCCACTTTGGGAAACTGTATATAAAGCAGTTACACCTACACCTACACCAAGTTACACATTGATGTACCAGTATTAGCAATCTAATGATGTCATAATAATAATAATAATAATAATAATAATAATGATAATAATGATAAAGAGTCACAGCGGCCGTTTTACTTCTACTTTTGATACTTTAAGCAGATTTTGCTTATAGTGCTTCTGTGCTTTTACTTTGGTGAGATTTTGAATATGGGACTCTTGCTTATAAGGAGGAATTTTATATTGTTGTATTGGTTCTGGATTTTACTTCCTCCGCTGGTGCAATCTGAGGAATAATTTACTGTCAGTCAGTTCCTCTTCCCAGTTAGTTTGCTCACTTTGGAGTGTGATTACCAGTACGATTGTCTGAATGTTTGTGTTTCCTCCTCTATTGGACGTCTATTTGGCAAGTAACTCAGCCAAAACTTTGTAAATAAAACCCAAATTAATAAACCAGAATTATCCTGTTAATCTGACATGATCTCTCTTTTTGCCATCTCCATACCTCTTGAAAACTTGCCTTACTCCTCAAACTTCAGTAAGAGAATTAGCTTTAGATTTAAGTTGAGGAATGAATGTTGGCAGTCGAAGGTCCTCACAAGTACAGCGGGACTGAGTAGTGTGTGTGTGTGTGTGCGCGTGTGTGTGTGCAGAAAAAGGCGCAGCATGAGCAATGACAGTGCCAGGGTCTAACAGGGGGAACCAACCTCGCCAGGGCTCCAGAGCCTAGATTCATTGCTTTAGTAGCAATGCATTTTTGATGTGCCCCCCTTCTGCTTCAACTTCTCTGTACGACCCTGGCGGAATAACAGCGCCCCCAGCAACCATCCATATAGCTTAATTTTAGCATGTGATGTTTGCAGTGTGTAGGTGTTTGTGTGTGTGTGTGTATGTGTGTATATATATATACTGTATATGTGTGAGAAAGAAGGAGCACAGAGAGACGGAAAGGAAGACGGAAAGAGCGAGGGAGACGGCGAGAAAGGGAGAAAATGTTCCCCCTTGCCTGTTAAATATTTGAGAAGCCTTCTGTGGAAAAGTGATGCAGTCAGAGACAGGCCTGTTAGCTCTGTGTGTGTGTGTGTGTGTGTGTGTGTGTGTGTGTGTGTTTGTGCGCGTTTGGTTGATGTAGAGAGACAGACAGGCCCGTTAGTTTGGACTAATTCAGCCGTGAGTGAGGGAGAGGGAGCACTTTCACTGTTTATTTATCTACCTGGGAGAGAGAGGGAGGACAAAAAAAAGAAGAGGGGGGGAGAGAGAGAGAGGAAGAGGAAGGGGTGAGAAAGTGAGAGAGAGAAAGAGGCAGGCCAGGTTGTCACAAACCATTAGACAGACGGACCCAGTGTGCTCTGCCCCATGTCAATGAGCGGCCCGGCTAAAGACAACCGCGTGTGTGTGTGTGTGTGTGTGTGTGTGTGTGTGTGTGTGTTGATGGGCGTGCATGTGTTTGTTTGCGTTTGTTTATTTATGGATGTGGTTTTTGCACAAGTGCTTGCAATCGACAGAGAAATAATGTGTGCATGTGTTTACTGGCACAAGTCGCTGAGATTAGCTGAAAGGAAGGTAAAGGGTGTGTGTTGTGTGAGTGAGAGAGTGAGTGAGTGAGTGAGAGACTGAGAGGGAGAGTAAATCTCTAGACATTGATGAGGAGAGGGGGCAAGATGCCCTCATTGTCTAAGACAAAAGGCTCCCTGTGCCACAGAGCAAAATATCCAGTGTGCGTGCACATGCACACGTGAACACACACTTCTACTTGTGTGCGCCTATGTCTGTGTGTCATGCTTGCTCATCGTAAAAGGGATCATTTATTACAATATTCATCCAAAACACTGCTGAAAGCCGAAGAAAAAAAGGATAAAAGACAAAAACAAAGAGGTGCTCAGATGGCATGTGTTACAAAGAATGGAGGTTTTTTTCAGATTTCAAGGTTCAGCTGCATGCTGGGAATGTTTAGAATTATTATGAGAGCCTTACATAGCAGGCAGAGAAACAATGGTTTCAAGCAGACACACACACACTTAGGCCTAACTCCTACTAAAACTCACTTGGGATTGGAGCTGTTCCAGTAGACAGCGTGTCTGTCAAATATGATCTTCTCCTCCGCCCACACGGACACCCAGGACAGGACGGTCAGCACCACCACCTCCATCACACACCTCTGCCCGAGCTGGCACAACATCATAGACATCCAGGGGCAATCTCTCTCTCTCTCTCTTTAACTGGGATCAGGCTTTCACTGCACTGCTGCTGCTGCTGCTGCTGCCGCTGCTGCTGCAGAAATCCTCTCTAGATCATAAATGTCCTTCTGCGCGTCTTTGGACGAATCGGGTCCGCGGTTCATGGATCGTTGACTGGCTTGATGCGAGTTCCGATAACCTCGAGGGTGTTTCAAGTCATACTGGACGGTTGAAATTCACTTTCAAACTTGGTCGGCCTCAGACGGGAGAGCACAGATTCACATGTTATTTACAAGCGCGTCGTCGGCAGGATGCTGCGAGTGCGTCTCTTCTGCAAGGTCCGAAACTTTTCTCCCATTACGCGCAGCCGGGGGAGATAGATGCGCTACCTGGGTTAGACCCCCTTCTCTCCATGAAATTACAATCAATCACCTTTCAGAATTCATCCGAGGTTTGTAATTCTATCAGCGGTATCGTCACTCACCAGCAGACACGAGACAACGGTCAAATCGACCGTCATATTTGTTTACCCAGATTTGTGTAGAGCCTGGCGCACGCTTTGTTCGCTCCCCTCACAACGCAAATCTCTTCACAGCAGGGAAAAAAAAAACTACGTCCACTTGACCTTTTCTCTTATTGCATTTGAATGAAATAAATTCCAGACGGACGAACACGCTCCTTTCCGGTATTTTCAGTCCAAACTTATCGCACCAGAACAACTGAGAGACAGGAGCATCCTCCACGAACAGCCGCGAGCATCTTACAGCATCTCAACTTGGTGATCCCTCCTCTGCCACTGGGCTCTTATCCAATGTGACTCGAGTCGCGGTGCGCCTTCACTGCCCCGTGCGTCACGCTGACCGGCGGCAGCCACGATCACAGCTTTAATCCGAACATGCTCCGGTGCAAACCTCCACCTACGGCGGGCAACAGCGCACACCCGCACCCTGATTCGGTGTAGCCTAAGTAACCCCCACCCCCCTCTCTCTCTCCTCTCTCTCTCTCCCACATCTCGCTCGCTTTCTTTCTCTTTCTTTCCTTCTTTCTGCGCGGGCGGGGTCTGTAGCTGTGCCGTGCCGTGCTGTACCGCGCTCCCTCTGGGGACTCTGTGCTGGCTGACTCACTGATCCCCGGCGGTACACAGCTGAGGATGTATAGAGGAAAGCCCCAACTCAATTAAACATTTTTTTTTCTAAATTTTATAGAGTTACCTGACCATTTTGATGTGACACGAATTAAGAATTGGTGCAAACAAATGAATTAAGGTGATCTGCTGGAAACTGTAGCTGAAGCTGTCTCTGTTTTTGACCGATTACTCGTTAAACTTGTTACAAACCACCACCACCACCACCACCACAGCCGTCTGCTTCACTGAAGCCGGTTTATCGCAGCTGGGCTTGCAAAGCACCCATAAAGTTCACGATCAGTTTGAAAGCTGCGGCCTGATGGATGGATGGAAGGGGGGCCTCGTAGAGAGAAAGAGAGAGAGAGAGGAAAGGAGAGAGAAGGCGTCTGATGGATCGCTGGAACAGTGGAGTCATTTTCCATCAGTGTCCATTAGGCCCAAAGGGCAAGCGGAGGCAGCACCAAGTCTAAAACCTGTGAGCCATAAACCTCCAGAGAGCTGTCTGACAGAGCGCTGCCACCCCTGCTGCCTCTGCCCTCGTGTGTGTGTGTGTGTGTGTGTGTGTGTGTGTGTGTACGCACATACTCTTCTGCAAAACATATCCATCTTATGCATTTACACTCAGAGCAAACAGACTGAAATATATAGTAACTGCATTGTTTCCACAAAGTGCGCCATGGTTCTTCCGACGTGTCGATACTTGGAGCAGAATGAGCCCCAGTGAGGATCAATCCAATCTCAACAAGATGAGAATTGATTCCAGAAAATTATTTGCAACGAGTTCATTTACATCCTTTAACAAGAAAGGCATCAGCACGCTAGTAAAAAATGCATTGAAACACAAAGTAAAAGGGGTTTTCTGCAGTGTACAAACTCTTCCAGGCTCCTACAGGAGACAGTTTCCCCAAATCAAACTGACTTGACTTGTCCCGCCGTTCCTGAATCTAATAGACCCGTGTTATCATTTTAAAAACTGAACCTTTCCGCAGCTCCATCTTTCACATCTTATTGTGCCTCTCGGTTGGATCCATTATGCAAAGTGTCCTAGTTTTGCTTTGCCCTGCTCTGCCTGCGAAGTAATGCCTATAATTTGGGCTGCTGAATCCAGGCAGGAAGAGAACCCATGCACCCCCATAACCCAAATACAGCTGCATGTTGTCCGCCTCTGTGGATGAATTATTCAACATCTGTCTGAGGCGTGCATATGTAAACAGGTGGATAGTCTCCTGATGGCTTTTTTTTTTTTCTTAAGGGGAGACACATACAGACCAAAGGCATCCTTCACCTCAGCTTCAGGCTTTTCCTCCTCTGCTATGTCACTCTGAAAGCGAGTCTAAATCTCATGTAAGCTGTGCAGACTAAACAGTATTGGGAGGATTCAGATATGAAGGATTCTTTAAGTGATCCTAAATCTAAATTAATGTGGGTCAGGGAGTCAGTATGGACACATTCCTCTTTAGGAGGGCATTAAATCCTGGAATTTATAGCTGGTTAAGTCTGTGATTGCTCTGCAGTTTAACTACAGAGACAAATTATAGACATATGAATGTCCTCAAAGCTCCAGAACTTAAAACACAAAACAGATGAATGTCTTTCAATGCTGTTGACTAAAGCATCCATCCAAATTCAGCCAACCTTTCAAGTCTCACACATTAGACATCCAGCCCTTTTTTTCCCCTCAGTGACTAACTGGCTGTTGAGGGCATTGAACATGTCACAAATGATACACAGGAGAGTCTCTTGAACCACTTGTTCAGTCTGGCCCCATTCAGCCACCACTGGGATCACATTTGTGTGTGTGTGTGTGTGTGTGTGTGTGTGTGTGTGTGTGTGTGGCCTCTGTGTTTGCTTGATTAGAGGCCACAGGACTAATGTAAATAAATGTTGCCAGATGCAGTGGGATCACTAACCCTCACATGGTTTCATTTAGTCCTACGCGCACGCACGCTGGATGAAGCCAGGAACATCCCAAGGGTCTGGATTGGCCAAACAAATGGGAGAGAAGGTGGGGTGCGGTTACACAAATGACACACTGAACTAGTTAAAAGTACAAATGTGGAGACAGTCTGAGATGTTGTAACAGAGCTTTAAGTACATTCAGTAATGCTACTTTATTTGGGGTCAAATAACTTTTGGATTGGACTAATTTTGGAAATGTTTACCCTTGCTGTACATGCTTGCCAGTTTTACTTTTTAAAAAAAAAAAAAATGTCTCAACAGATTAAATTTACCATATTTTTTTTTGAACTGGTGACTTCTGGAATTTGGTAACCTTAAAAAAAAAAAAACCCTACCACAGATCTGTGTTTGAATCATTTTACTTTGAGCTACCCTTCCACCCAATTATGCAATCTCTTTGCATTTCAATATATTCCCGAAGAGAATTCTGTGTAGACTGCTCTCTGCTCTAAATTACTCTCGGTGCAGAGTGAAATACTAAGATGCTGCAAGTAAACAAGGGTCTGAGGTATCAAAGCAGCATCAAAGTTGCTGCCATGGAGTTTCCAGACTGGCAGGGATACACAGTGAACTGCAAAGATGTTTGAAAAGAGGCAGCAGAACACGAGCCATCAAGAGACTGGTTGCAATTTTTGGCAAACGTGACCATATTCTAATGACTTTAGGGCGACATTAAAATAAGAGTACCGCCTTCTGTTAGCATCCTAAAACATGCTGTAGAAATTTTTGTGTTGTGTCTGTTTCACCTAGCAAGTATCTTCAGTCTGGTATCTGTCTATAACTGTGACCTTCAAGCATGCCGTCTTATGCAAAGTAATATCAGCAGAGAAACAATTGCCTTTGCAGTGGAATTCGCACTAACTTGCAGCTCACCATGTTTTAAGACCACACTCCACAAGATACTGGGATTATACAAGAAAATCCAGCTACTCTCAGCCACAAATACAGACACCACTGGACTCAATTCTCCTTTTCTCTCATTTGTCCCCCTCCAAAAGTAAGGAAGATCTGAGGTTAATCCTCTCCACCGCTCTGTAAGGAAGTCGAAGAAAAAAAAAAAAAAAAAAGGTATAATGCCAGAAAACCCAAGGAGGCACTTGAGATTAAGCCACCAACTATTGACATTGTGTGAGTGACAGGTAAAGTCACCTCTGCTTAACAGCCTTCGATTACCATCAGAGAGCAAGACCTCCCCCTAGTGGTTCAAGAGGTGTATAACCAGTTTGTCATTTTTTTCCCACCTCCATCCCTCACATCCCTGAGGAACTTTCTGATACACATGGATGCCAGATATGCCCGATAGCCATGCTTGTTTTTTTTTTTTATCTTAATTACTCATCGTCTGAGACGAAGCAATTTAGTTTCCACAGCAACCTGGCTCCTCTCCATAAGAGTAAGACAGACCGGCTAAACTGAAAAGGTCAAAGCAGAGCACAGGAGGATTATTCAGAATCATTGAGAATAGCAAGTATCCAGCGTTGCATATTGAATTAAATCTCCACCCTGCCATCATCATCATCGCAGCCGTTTCATCAAATGGATTGCAACGAGATTGAGCTGAGCCCAGATGAGCAGTCAGTCAAGTTTCAGATGGGATGAGTACGAAGTTGGAAATACAGTAAGAGATTAAAAAAAAAACCCACCAGTAGTAAAAACAGGATGGGAAATGTGGAAAATGTTACGAGATGTTAACCGATACAGAGCAGCAGGTCCACAGGACAGAGGGGAAGAGACAGAAACCAAATGAGGCCAGATGAAAGAAGGAACAAACTAAAGATTTATTGAAGGCAGCAGAAGATGCAAGAGACAAGAACAGAATGGCAAAGGGGGGAGGGGGGAGCGGGGCACATACAGAGACACTTCTGTGTTCAGATAGGTTTAATGTCTTTGTGTTACAAAAGTTTTTTTGTTTTTTACAGCTCCAGAGAGCTCAATAGGTCTGTATTGTTTTATCAAAATATACATGTTTTGAACGTAAAGTGGATATAATCCAAATGATTTTGTGGTACAAAAACATGAATATATACAACCATCAACCCCCGCTTCATACAATAACCCCACCCCGCCCCCATATAAAAAAGGAGAGAAAAATAAAAGCTTTTAACAATAACTGAAAGGCATATAATCTTCTACACTGTCAACATCACAGCTAGGACTGTGGATCAATTAAGTATCCATTCTAAAGCGATCTCTACCCAAAATTAGGCTCTTTGTAAAGTCAATCAAACAAAAGGGGTACAATATACAGTATATGTTGTTACCCAAAACATATTTTAACTTCATGTGACTTTTGTCCAAGGCATTTGAGGAACAGAAAGAAGGAAATCGAAGCCTTGTGTTCTTGTGGAATAGCAGGAATGTGAAAAAAAACCTTTAAGAAATCACAACACTACAAAACAGCAGGGATAGAAGATACTTTGGTCCTTAACAGCAATAACCGTCTGCAGCTACATGAAGCTTCGTTAAATCATGCATAATAATCTTTTACAAAAATAGAGACAGAGCAAGTCTGTATCTGGTCCAAGACTACAGTGGTGGAAACTGGTGCGTGAGGCACGCAGGAATGTGACGATGTTTAAGACTTCAGCGTGAGGGTGTCAACTTGGACCTATCATTGAGGAAAAGTGCACTAAAGAACCTGACTGTGGCTTAAGTGGACACAGGCAGGGAATGGGTGAGGGTTGTCCCACCCTGTAATCATGTTATCCTGAATTTAAGAGAAAAAATATACTGGGTTTTCCGACACAGTCCAAGACTGTCGTTACTATCAATTGACAAATGCCCCCCAGCTGCCCTCTCACAGGTACAATTACCTGAATATAATGGGATAAAGGCATCTTTGCAGACAGGTAAGATAAAACAGCTGAATGAGAGGTAAACAAAGTCAACTGATGAGGCTGCAAAGTGTGTCAGCCTCAGATTAAAAACTCAAGGAGTCAAGGCACTGTGATAATGATCAAACCCAGCCACTACATATAGGTATCAGTTAAGCTTAGAATTGATACACATTTAAATGCTAACATTAAAAAGAAAAGATAAATGAATATATAGGTGTCCACTTATAGATGAACATAATATGGTTAAATAAGGCCCCAAACACCACTGGCCCTACGGAGAGAGGACTAAAGGAAAATGAATGGGACCTGTAGGCGAGGAGGGCTGAATACAGCTCTACTTCCTGCCACAATACACCTAATAGAGCTACATCACCTAGCAAGGATATTAGGCATCTAACTGACTTACATTCATAGTTTCTACATATATAATGAGGCTATATGCATACAAATCCTTAGATAAGAAACAGAAGACTGAATGAGCCACTTTCCCCCATTTTAACAATGCTGGTACATACCGAAAGGCATGAGAAAACAAAAAGGCATTTTGAGAACCACATCTTTTCCAAATGAAGCCAGAGCAATGCTTAAGGCAATCTGGTTGGGGCAAAAGTAAGGCACAAGACTGTAGATAAAGATAATGAAAGAAGAATGCGTCCTTATTATAACAACTTCAGATAGTGGTATGGATCCCCCAAAGCAAATATGTGGGTAGTTACAAGAAGATAAAATAAAAATGGATACTGGGAAATAAATTGTTTGTTGGTCTGTGAGCCAAAACAAAATCATTGTCTCTAACCGTTTCTGACTGGCCAAACAGGTTCAAAGTGGCATTTCAAAAAAAAAAAAAAAAAAAAAAAAAAAAGGCACACACACATAGATATATCCACACGACTATCATAGTAAAAGGAATGCTGAAGTGTGTCTGGTGTGGATATGATTCATCCACATAAGCATACATCTGTGGTGGAGGGTGTCTTTTTTTTTTTCTTCCTTTTTTCTTTATAATTTTTTTTTTTAATTTTTTTTTTTTATTTTTTTTTTTTTTTTTTTTTTTTAAGCAATTTGGTCTAAAGTGACAGTTCATCAGCTTCCCCTACTTTACCTCCAATATAGTAAAATGTTTCAATGCAGAATGTTGCCCGTTTCCCAGGACCCCACTCAAAACTTTGTGATGGAACAAATTATTAGGTTTGGGCACCAAGGACCTGTTCTGAACTGGAACCAGATCCCATTTTATTTTATTTTTTTTTTTAAAGACCTGGGATTTTCTCCGACACACGCTGTGATTCTATTCTTTGACTCCTGAACTAAGTTTGGTCTTTTTCGTTTATGTCGCCTATGCATTTGGATAATGTTTGACAAGTGATATAGGAAATTGGAATCATTGATCACAGGAAATTGGAATCATTGATCACAATTTCCAGCATTGGAGGAAGTCTAACTTCCTGTGGCATGGTTTTTGATATCCCAAGTTGAAGTCATAATGCCCCAGAATCAGCTACTGCAAGCCACTGTAGCTCAAACACAAACAAGTGTAGAACAGCGACAATTCAATTTGTGAATGGCAGGAAGGAATATTCATATTTGTCTACATTTATTCCAAATGTTTTTGTTTTCAACCTATTTTGGTGTTTTTGTGATAATATGAAAAGATTTGGAATCCGGAATAGGAACTGGAATCAATAAGGAGACTTGATCAAATCTGATACGCAAACCTATAAATGGTGGGGAATGACCAAGTATTGAGGTGAAGGGAGCAACACTCTACACAGAAACAGTCTTAAATATGTTATGGTTGCCATTTCCACTCAAGGCAAACTTGAGAAAAGTAGCATTCAGATGGCAATAGATTTGGAGGGAGGAAGGAAAGGCACTCAGATGGTGGACTTGGAGAAGGACACTCGAAGGTGGTGGTTCTCCCCCAGATCGTGGTTGTGGAACTCGATGAGGGACTCAATTGCCTCCTCGACTGACCCCATCTGGATCAGGGCCATCTTGCGGTCTTTCCTGTTAAATATAGAGAGAACAATGTGTTCTGAAAGTGTCAAAATGGTGCCAACTTTTGTGTAGGCTGTTTGCTATGTTGTAGTTGAATAACAGAACTTGTTCTATACTCTTAAAGACATCTTACGCAGACTTTAAACATTGATCAACTCCGCTTGTCTGAATTGGCTTTGCATTAAATGAATGTTGTGACATTTTTTAAAGTTTTCAAACACCAATTAGGACATAAATGAAGAAAATCGAGCAACTGGATTGAGACTCACTGAAAGAACTTGAAGGCCTTGACTGTGGCTCCTGAGCTGGCAAACAGCCTCCTGAGGTCATCCTCCATCACAGAGGGCCTTAAAATCAGAGGGCAAAGAAAAAAATAAAACAAAGAATCAACATAAAGCATTTATGTGGGTTTATATTCCCTTTACTTATTTGTACTAGTGTGGTAAAAAAAAAAAAGAACAAGAAGTATGATTAAATCTAAAAATGCACCTCTAGAGTAGCATGTTTAGAAAAGACTGTCACAACTACTTAATCCAAAGCACTAAATATAGAAAAAAAATGAGTCAGGACTACAAAGGAAAAAGCTTAGAGCATAAAGGACGCTGGGGAGAGAGTGGGAATGAAAAGGACACTCTTGCAGCAGCACTCACGGTATGTTGGAGAGGTGGAGTGTTGCAGAGGGTGGGAAGATGTTGGAGTAATTCTTGGAGCCAGGCTTCTTGAAACGGTGCAGCGGGGAGTTGCTGTAGTCCTTTGTGAGGCCCTGGTCCTCGTGGCCTTCTCTGGGAAGCTGCACTGTGGTGTGTTTTGACAATGTCACACGCATGGCCCTGCCGTGAAGCCGCTGGCCATTCAGGTGGCTCATAGCTGAGAAACATGAATACAATAGTCAACACCACACCCAAAACCTGGTTTCCGCATACAATTCTAGTCTGACTTAGACCTTAAAATAGTTTGAAGTAATTTCAATTTTAAGTTTAACAAAAGGCCCAATGAGGCCAATTTAATTGATTTTAAACCGTTTTCCATCCTTACCCTCTCCTTGATACATCGACACTACATTTATTAAAAGATTTTCTAAACACATTTAGAGTAGTTACAGAAGGTAAAACAAGGAAATAATCAGAAATAGGCAATCAGCTATTTATCAAAGGAGGACCTGCAGTGGTTGCTCATTTGAGACCCACTAAGTGAAGGCTCAAAACAATGTATGGTAAAAATGCAAAAAACAAGATGAAAGAAAACGCTAGATCAAAGAAAGTAAATAGGGTGTAGCAAGTCTGGAGTGTAGCTACCTAGCTGAGCCTGTGTGCCATCAGACATCTGGATCAGAGCATTCTCCTTCTTATTGAACAGGATCTTCACCCTCATCACATCGCCATACACACCTAGTGAAGAAGAGGAAGGTGTCACACTACAAGTGCAAGAATGACTAACACAGCCTTAACATGAGCCACACAGCCAATCACAGCAACAAAAACAATTTAAAACCATCAAATCAGACACATTAATATTCATACTAAATGGACACTGTCTGATTAAAAAGTAATTGTCAGACTATTCAGTAATTTTCTATTTAATTCTGTGTGGGATTTTCTACAACTAATCCTACATAAGCCCTCGTAGATAATAATTACAAAGATGCTACATGGTTATGCCTGAGAAGGAGAAGATAATGATTTGAGGAAAAAACAAATAAATAAGTAAAAATCAATGAATAGTAAAATGAGTGGTTCTGATTGGTTTGGTCGCTCTACAGAGGAAAAAAGTTGATTACTTGATGAACTTGAGGGCGTGATAGAAAGACATGCAAGAATAAACTAAACATGCATATACCTACATTAGAGTAACTGAAACAAACTGCAGAAGAATAATATGTTGACATAATCCAAGGGATATGTCAATTCCAATCACTAAAAAAGCAGCAGCATTTCATCTCTGAATGTAGTTGTCAAGTGACTCAAGGCAACCACAGAAAAATTAAATTAAGAAAAATGAAATTTGATGAATTTTCATGGCTTAAAATTTAGATGGTGCAGAACTAAATAAATTGTTGACTTTTATCCACTTCCAGAGGGTGACGCTTTAGAATTTAGATCAGCTTCTTGCCTCATTCCTGAACAAAATGATCCCTACATTTCTATTTAGCAGAGCAATATTTCCATTCAGGGGCTGTGCTCTTTGAAGATGAAAAACTGCAAATACTTTTTGCCCATGGACAGTAAACCATGGCTGTTAGAAATTAAATGAAATGCTGCAGCTTTGTGTGGTTTTTCTCACCTTACTTTCCTTACACAAACCCACAACAACCAAAACAGGTCATAACAAACCCCAAAACAAACAGACACCCCCACCCTTCAATAGCCCTGTAGCCTGATGACGAGCCATCAGTGGTTAAAAAAAACAAAAACAAAGCCAACAACATGAGACAAGACATGCCCACCTTGCCAGGTAACAGTAGTAATAAAAAAGGAGATGAAAGGATGATAACGTACCGAAAAGAATAAAGAGGCAGTGTGGCGTAACGCTCTTTAGAGACAGCAGGGGGAGCAGCGGGGCAGGGGGCCAAAGGGGGAGAGGGAACAGGGGACAGGGGAAAAGAGACGGAGCGGAGTGGAGGACAGTGGAGTGGAGTCGGGACATGTCCGCAGGCCACAGGCAGCGAGGTCCACAGGAAGGCCACAGTACCATGGAGGAAGGAGAGGCATGAGGGACGAAGAGAATGAAGAGAGGACAAGAGGAAGAGAGGATTCAAACAGCGTGAGAGAGGAGGAAGAGAGGAGATAGTAGAAGATCAGGTGGAGAAAAGGAAGATGGTGGATGGACAGATGATGGCAAAAATCATGGGGACCAATGTTGTGTTTTTGTGTTTTCAATTTGTGGGTGGTGTCCAAATTGGGGACAATGAATAGGGGAGAAAGAGGGATGGGTGGGAGGGAGGAGGAGTGGTCGTAGTAGTAACAGAGGAGTGGCAGAGGGGAGGAGGACAGAGGGAACAATTGGTCATGGGGCGTGCAGTCAGTTGGCAAGAGTTGAGGTGAGGGTGTTTTAAAACAAAAAAGAGAGAGAGGGGGACAGAGAAAGAAGAGAGAGAAAAAGGAAGTAAAAAACAAGGTCAGTATACACAAAGAAATGTAGTGCTTCAGACAGTAGAACTGGCTAAATTAAAATGCATTGTCACTATGGGAACACTAGAAGAAAAAGAAGAGAAAAAAAGATTAACAATGAAATACAGAAAAAGGCAGAGACAATATGTACTTTTAGATTACAGGCTATGTTTGTTTAAATTATGTTTAATTACATTAGAATAAAAACAGACAAATCTGAATATCAATTATAATAATGCTAAAAACTGGTCTTTAAATTAATATCCTTATTGTAATGAATACATAACTACAGTAAATGTAATGAGTGTGACAGACTACTTATACATGCTACACACTATATGTATAAAAAAAGATCTACATAATGGACAAGATGTGTTTCTTTAACAAATACAAAGAAAAAAGTAATATTGTCTCTCCAACAACTCAAGAATGATTTCAACTAATGGACAAAAATGAAGATATGAAATGGTAAGTTTAAAAAAAAAAAAAAAAAAAAAAAAAAAAAAAAAAAAAAAAAAAAGATATTTTTTTAAAAAAAAAAAAAAAACACACGCCACCTGGCCATTACAGACTGAAAACAACTCCATACATGGTATCATCCTCCTGTAGCCTTTACTGAATCTAACCTGTATTTTA